AGGGACATAGCATCTAGTTGTGGTTGGCAACCAAGAACAATAGCAGTAACCCATGTTGTTTGGGGTAGCTCTGGGGCCTCTGGCCAATAACTCATCTATGAAGGCATCCTGCACTCAGCACCCAGATTTTCAATTAAGAATTCATGTCTTCTTGGAGCAGCATTTTCCACCCATGAAGGAACTTGTGTTCAAACTCCTGTTTTTAGATTACATTTTTAAATTGGCTTGAAAACTAGTGGATGCACATTAGGCTGCTTCATGTTACCCTCCGTTAACTCATCCTCCTCCCTCTTCTCTCCCAATCTCCACTAAAACCTTTAACCCAGAAAATCACCCCACTCTCCTCTCACGTTCCCTGTATTCAGCTGATAAGTTTTAATACTAGTTGAGCTTGATTATAACTTGATTGGCCAAGTCTTAAATATATTACACAAATTAAGTATCATAAAATAAATTTCCAATAATAAATGGTAAATATTATTTTCATTGATAGGTAACAAGCAAATATTCTATTACTGGGGCTAATGTTCCATAAAAATTGAATGCTATACTTAAAGGCATTTATTTGACCAATTCCTGCTATATAACTTGTTCCATGTTATAATTGTACTTATTTTTTACGGACTCCTAGGTTTTTGTATTTTGTACCCCACACTATTTGTTATCATTTTTGTCTATGTAATCAATTTCCCCCCACAGCTGAGGATCAAACCCAAGGTTTTAACAATACTAGGTAACTACTCAACCACTAGTTTACCCCCAGTCTTCAGCTATCTTTTGAAAGAAGTTAAATCTTTTTAAAATGTTTAATACTTCTTTTCAGGTTCTTCACTGTCTATCCTCAGAAGGAGTCATTCGCCTATCTTTTCCCTGGGTTGTTTTCAAAGCTAATTCTCCCTCTGCTTTTATCTTTGTTCATGGTGTATGTTATATGGGGTTGATTTTAAGGCCTTTTCTCTTCATTATTGGTGTTGAATAATTTGTTTCTGAGGTACCTTGGTACCGTTATCTTCATGTTCTGTGTGCTAGGGTTTTGTTTCTGTCAAACATTTCAAGTGTTTTCCATGCTCTCTGGAATTTTCCAGTTATTAATATGCCCAGCCACCCAGAGCCATTCCATAGTACACTGATGTGGTTTTTACCACTTAAAATCTTACTTTCCATATCTGATTTGGAAACATCTCCAAAGTTATGTCTTATTTTCATAAGTTTTTTTTATTATACAGTCTTTAATTTGCTTTTATTCTTATCAATTATAAACTATCATAAACAGTATAATTTTCATCTTTAATTGGATTCAGGTCTTTAAACACACACAATGCACACGCACATACACACACCTTTGATGTCTGCACTTGACACATCTCATCATATTCCTAGATTCCTGGCCATATGGCATATAGTTATAAGTGTCTTAATGTCCTTGTCTGATTATTCTAACATCATCATCAATTCTTGATTGGTTTCCATTTGTCAGTTTTTCTCTCCCTGTTTGGGTCATATTGACCTGCTTCTTTTATGGTTAATTATATTTCTTCATTGACAATTTCCTTCATGTATACAATGCATTTTGATTATTCCTCCCCACCAGCCTTATCTCCCTCCCCATCCTCTTCCCTACAAGGATTTCCCACACATTCCCATCTTTTTGTTGTTGTGTTGGGCTGTGTGGCCCACTATGTTTCATAAGGGCCCTCTGTAGCTAGAGTTTTCCTGCCTGGCCCACAGTCAGGAAAATCTCTCTCACCTGCCAGTCCCACAGCCGCTCAGACCCAACCAAGTAAACAGAGACTTATTTTGCTTACAAATTCTATGGCCATGGCAGGCTTCTTGCTAACTGTTCTTATAGCTTAAATCAATCCATTTCTATAAATCTATACCTTGCCATGTGGCTCATGGCTTACCGGTACTTTACATCTTCCTTGTCCTGGCGGCAGCTCCAGGCAGTGACTCCTGCCTTCCCGTTCTTTTATTTCTCCTCTCTGTTAGTCTTGCCTATATTTCCTGCCTAGCCATGGCCAATCAGGTTTTATTTATTGACTAATCAGAGCAACTTGATATACAGACCATCCCCCAGCACAGCCAAGTGCAAATCATCTCAGACACCTGCACTCAGGCTTGTGGTCCTAATCATCCTCTGTGCGGACCTGCTGGGTAAAGCCACGAGGAACCCGAGAACGGGCTCCCACAGGACATACAGAACATCCCACAGCAGCCCTCAGTGTGACCATAGGTTTGGAACTGTGCATTGAAAGAGTGAGCAAACATTTCACATATCTGGTATCTTGTAGGAGATGCTAAGTGGTGTAGATTTAATTTTGCATGTGGTAAGTATTGCTGCCTTCCTGAAAAGCTATTCTTGAGCTTACTTCTGGGGCAGAGTTGAGTTGCCAGGAAACACTCTGATGCATTTGAGTATTATTTTTAAGTTAGTGTGAGGAACCAGAGCAATGTTTATTCTCAGGCTACTGAGTCCTCACCTCTAAGTCGGGACCTTCACTGTGCTGTGTGTATTTTGAAGTTTCCGTATATGGCAGGTAGGAATCACGACCTATTCTTGGCTCTGGGTAAATGCTGAGCCCTGTTTCCTCCAATGCCTTCAGATGGCTTCTCCCCTATGCTGGAGCATAGCTCAAGAGGGAGCTGAGAACTCTTCCTTCACAGGACTTTCTTTTTCTCTCAGCCTGCCTAGCAAACTCCAGATGGTTCAGTCTTGTTGGAGTCTCAAGACACCTTTATTAAAGGTGTCTTCCAAACCTCTATGATTTCCTGTTCCTGTACCAAGGTTTGAAAACTAGAGGCAGATATCTGGGTAACCATGGAGCTCACATCACTGAGCCGGCTTAGTTATTGCTCTCACGAGTTGCTGTCTGCTGTCCTAAAACACAACTAAAACCATTTTTTTCCATTCTTTGTCCAGTATCGGATTATTTCTGAAGTAGAGAAAGTCTAGTCCCTATTACTCCAACTTGCTGAAAGCCAAAGTCCATTTAAGGTCAATCTTGGGTGACTATTTCCATATTTCATCCTTAACAGCGCAATAAGAAGTGATGGTTATGACAGAGGAACTATTACCTCAAAGTTTTCCTCTGAGTTCCTCCATCTCATCCAGGTTCAGCTTATGTCTATTGTTCTTGAGTCTGAATTAAAGAATGTGAGGTTTGTACTACTTAATAATAGGAAGGTCAGCATCCTTCTTCCAGCTTTGATCCCAGGATAAATGAGCTAGGCATGGGCTGACTGGACCACCTCAGAGACCATTTCTACTTTGTCAGACACATGACAGCTAAAACTGGCTAAAGACAGTCCTATGGGTAGAAAGCATTTCTGTTAATGAAGGCATCCTCAAGACTTGATCTGAAAAATCTAAGCAGTAGCTAAGATCTCTAAGCTTTTCATCAGCAGTTAGCTGTCCAAGCAATGGAAAATTACATTATTTTTCACTTGGGTGCCAGATATCTGTAAGATGAACCTTAAAAGGTCTTATTAATAAAAACAAACCCAGAGCCAGGTATTGGGGTGAATGCTGGAAGATCAGAGAAACAGAACAAGCCACAGCTAACCTCACCTTGCCATCTCCTCAGCCGATCCTGTTTCCTCAAACTGGAAGCCTCTGAGTCTTCTTCTGAAATGGATCTCAGATGAATTGCTGCTAAAAGCTTCAAAGCTTAAAGGGCCTTAGTTCCTGGTTTTCACACCTTATATACCTTTCCACTTCCTATCATCACTTCCTGGGATTAAAGGCATGTGTCTTTCTCAAGTGCTGGATTAAAGGTGTGTGCCACCGCACCTGGCTCTGTTCCTAGTGTGGTCTTGAACTCAGAGATCCATACAGATCTCTGCTTCCCAAGTAATAGGATTAAAGGTGTATGTGCCACCATTTTCTGGCCTCTATGTCTATCTAGTGGCTGTTCTTTTCTCTGATCCCAGATAAGTTTATTAGGGTGCACAATATATTGAGGAACACAATATCACCACAGATATCTAAGCATAATATCTATCAAAAATCACCCTTTTTGACCAACTTCCAGACTCACACTTTGTGGGGGGTTTTTCCCCCAGAGAAAATAAGGCCTTCTAGTGTAAGCAACTGTTATTAGAGAAAAACAGGAATCCAATAATTTGAGCTGAGTGAAACTCAGTTAACAGAGTATTTGCCTAGCATGCGTGAAGTCCTGGATTTAGCCCACAGCACTGCGTAAAATTGAGTGTGCTGAGTGTAAACTTGTAGTCCAAGCATTTAGGAAGTAGAGGCAGGAGGATAAGATGTTCAAGATCATCCCTGGCTCATATAGTGAGTTTGAGGCCAGCCCGCAATGTGAGACCCTGCCTCAAAATAAAATGCCATAGTTTAATCTTTAGTACAGTGGCTTGCTATCAGGCACCTGTTCTCTCAACCCCAAGACAACACAGCACAGCACAGCCCAACCCAAAACAGTATAACACAACACAACATAGCATGTACATATGATGCCTGGTCACACACCATTGTTCTTTCTCTGCCCTGTCCAGTGTTTCATGGTAACAAAAGCCACAGTCTACACTAGAGGTTGGCCTTATAGTCTTAGAATCAGAGTCCAGGAAGAGTTAGAAGAGGGTTCATACCTAAAATTTAGTTAAAGGAAAAAGAATATAAATGTGCATACATATTACATAGGAATGGGTTGTTGTTTTATTAATGTGACGTTTAGGGGCATATGCACTTCTTGGATTTTCTTGTCTTTAGTAAAGATTCAGCTCACAATCAATTGTATTGTGCTTTAGGAAGTAAGTTCTTCCACTGGTCTGTTTTACTCTTGTATTGGGAAGCTGTAGGTGCAGTTTTACATGAGTTTTCCGATACTTGAGGGAAAAAAATGTCCTTAGAAGTCCCCCATTGAGTCCTTCATGGACAGACCATAGAGGATTTCTAAAGTGCCAGGCATGGGGAGAGTTTGCTCCTGGTCTTGTGGGCAGCAAGTTTTCACTTGCCTAACCTCCAGGTCTTTTCCTTCTCACAGGCACCCGAGTGGACAGAACCAACAGCTGTCAGTCAGACAGCAGTGGGTTTTTGGAGGAGCTGCCAGAGCCCCATCCCCTCCAGGTAGGAGAGGCTGGAATGGGGCACTGAATGCTTACTATATATGTTTCATTCCTATCAACCATCCCCAATCATACCTGCACTCCTGAAGAACTTGGAAGAATGAATGTAAAGTGCCCACCACTGTGGAGGCCCACAAAGGTTCCTAGTGAGATCTGAGCTTGCTTTACCTGGCAGAGCTGCATTAGAGGATTGCTTGACCATGTGGGTGGTTACTAGGTGATTGAAAGGGTTTGCGCTTGGCTGTGCTGGGGGAAGGTCTTTTGCTCCACCCCTTGGCATTCCTTTAAAAGGCCCTTTAGAAGAGACAGAAGGGGACGGCGGATAAGGATCCTGGCCCTCCCGAGCCTGTCCTGTGTTTCTGTCTTTTTCTCTCCCCTCTATCCTTCTATCTAAACCTCTTATCCCTCTCTCTTCAAGAGTACCCTGGGGAGTGGGGGGAGTGGGAGCTGGTCGCCCACACACCACACATGGAAAGTTTTTAAGTCCACACCAAATATATACTCAATGGACAGAGAATGATAAAATCACAGTAGGCCAAGTGCCAGAGTGCTCACTTGCTTCTCCTTCCCCTTTTGTTTTGTTTTTTTCTAAATTATGAACTGAACATCATAGGGAAGAGGTGGTAAGTGAAGTAGTAATCTGATATAATTTCAAGTTTATAGCTTGTGCTCATGACATGTGTCACTGGTAACATATATGCATATAATGCTGCTGCAACATCCTGATTCTTTCCCATGCTGGTTTCTCCTGCAGGTGTCTTCCTTGCCAGGCAGCCAGAGTCCCACTGAGGGTAGAGGTAGCAAATCGAGGGATCAGAGTCATAGCCCAGCACCATGGCAGGACTGTCAGCAAGAGTCCAATGGCTCTGAAACCAAGAGCATGATGAGCTCATCTTTGTCAAGCCATGATAGGAGTATATTGGAAGGAAAGTTCTCAGCATCTGTGGAGGAGGAGGAGCTTCAACTTGAGGCTAAGAAGGAGCTACCAGAGATACTCACCCCAGATACGACCCTCACCAAGACCATGATGGTGGGAGAATACCCAGGGAGTCTTGTTGGAACTGTAGTCACTTCTACATGGAATAACACAATGGGGATCATGGTGGCTCCTGTCACAGAAAAGGAAGACAGGTCTCTGAGGCATAAGGGTACTGGGGAAATGTTGATACAAAGGCACCACTTTGAGTCGCCAAGGTCATCCGGGATTGATCAGACTCCAGACAGTTTCTATCTCGTGGACTCTGAGATCCCAGGAACAGAGGACAGCAGCAAGGTCTACCCTGACACCAGGCAAAGCTCAGTGGTGCAGGAGAAGCTAGCACAGCACTCTCAGCAGCACAGAGGAGCCACGCCCTATAAAGGTGACCTTGTTCAAAACTCTGATAAGTCAGTTCCCCACCTTGAGAAGCCACCTGGAGATGCTCCCACTGACTCAAATGCTGCCAGCTCTTGGTCTGTGTCAACCCAGATGTCCTCCAATCTGGTGTCAGCTGCTCAGAGTGTTGCAGATTTGGGGACCTACTATAAAGGAACAGCTTTAGATTGCAGTCCATGTCACCCTGTTAATACCACAGACCTGAGAGTGCAGACAGAAGCAAAGCAGGTCAATGATGTTGCTGTTCAGACTTACGCATATGAATGCAAACCCAGGGCCTCACATAAGGCCTTAATTCATAGACCCTGGCCCCTCACCAAATCCATCTCTTTGGACACAGGTTTTTCTAGCACCTCCCCAACAGGCCTCTGCCACACCACACCTGCCCACTGTTGTGTCTGCTGTCATCACTGTCCCAATTGCCAGGGAAGGAGGCAAAGCCCTGGCCCAGAACCCTCTATTTGCAGGCATTTCCTGTACTCACATGCAGAGGATCCTGAAGCCCGGTTCACGAAGACATTGAAAATACTTCAGGACACTACTGTGAGGGACTTGTGTTCTGTAAGTGTTTCCTCTATAAAGCTATAGGTATATCACTAATGCCACAGAAATGGTCTTCATCTTCTTTAATGGCAGAGAAAACTCAGGGCATAACTTTGTTTTCAAACATGAGTGCTTGTTGAGTGTTTTATAGTTTATTAGATAAACTCATATGTTTCAGGCTATATAAAACACTAATGGACCCATCTTATTTCCAAGTCAGTCTAGCTGAGAAGTTCTGTGTTTTAAATTCAGTGGGCGTACCTGAGCCATTTTGTGTCTCTAGGGCTGTCATGTAAAACAATGCAATGAGTACTGTGGGTCTTACTCAGTGGTAAAGTACTAGCTTAAACTCCTGGATTTAATTCCTGGTACCATGAAATGCATGCATGCATACATACATACATATATACATACATATATACATATGCAAGGAATTGATTCATTCCATTGTCATAAAGTTTTTTTTGGGATGAAATTAAGGCTTGTAAAGCACTTAACATAATTAGACACTCATCACAATATTTAACACCAAGAAAGCTCAAGGTAATATTAATTGATGGGGTATGACTCTAATCATCAATTTGTATTACTGTTTTATTTTTGCTGTATTACATGAACCTCTGATGTCATGTAGAGGGACTGCTGGTCAACCTTTGGTAACTGGCTTAAATGTGAGTACTGGGTTTACTAAAAGCTGAGTGATGTCAATGGACTTCAACCCTAGATTAACACACTTATCTTTAATGGGTCTTTTTCATGCTCTTTTTCATCATTTTCAGGATAGGGATAATCTAGGAGTTCCAGAATAACTATCAAGTAAAATATTGAGGCTCTCACATCTGAAATTTTATATACAAAGAGTAAAGGGCCTTGATGATGCAAGACTACAACTGTTCAGAGACATTGCAGAGGAACTGTGACTTACTGAGTACTATGGTCCAATGCTCAATGGGTTCACTTATATCTTTTAATTCCACAAAAAATATAATGAATGTCTATTCTAAACATTTGATTTATATTGTGTCATTTAACCTTCAATTTCTTACATGTCATAAAGATTTATTGGATTTCTAATATGTGGCAAGTACTCTCTCTTTTGTAAATAAAAAACAAAACAAAACAAACAAACAAACAAAACTAGAACTGAGAGAGTTTGGATAATCTTCCCAACCACTAAGTGGTGAATCTCAACTCAAATTCTTAGACAAAGATGTGCCCAACTTTAAAATATCTAAATCTGTATGAGAATAATTATGTGAAAAATAAAGTAAATTATCATATGGACTTTTAACATATAGAACTCTACATAAGTCTAATATAAACTGAGAAACTAATTTTCAGATTGCAAGACACCAGACATTTAGAATATTTAAGAATGAGCCAAGAATAAAGGTTATGCTAATCATAGAAAGCTTCATCTAGGTGTTATAATCAATTCTGGGTATTTTATTCAGAGGAGGAAAAGGGCAAAGGCTGAAGTGTAGCTGGGATCCTAGTGTCAAAATATCTAGATTCAAATCCTGGAGAATGGAGCTGGGGATATAGCTCAGTGGTAGAACATCTCAGTACCTCAATCTTCAGTACCAAAATAAATCAAATAAAATCTAGGAGAATAGGAAAATCACCGCTGTACTCATTTATTGAAGGCTTATAAGTGCTTTAAGGAATTATTCTTCTACTATGAATGATTTCCTCCCCTGGCCCTATATCAGGTGACATTGCCAATCTTTGGAGACATCTTTACTTGTCACAGCCGAAAGTGTAGTGGGTGATACTGGCAACAAATGAGCAAGGACCAGAGACGCTGTTGGACATGCTACTATACATGCACAGGACAGCCTCACAACAATGATTTAGTTTGAAATGTAAGTGTTGTCAAGATTGAACACCATAGCTCTGGAACAATTAGCATTCACTTGACCATTTAGTTTATATGAAATCATGCTGGGCATGAAAGTTAGCTAAAGAAGGAGGCATTTGAAATCCTATACAAATAATTAGACCATAGAAATAAACATCCCTTTTTCTGTAATGAAATCCTAGTCCAGGTATGGTGGCATATTTCTGTAATGTCATTAACCAGCAGATTAAGGCAGGAGGATCATTATAAGTTCAAGGTCAGTCTGGTCTATGTAGCAAGTGCTAAAGGCTACATAGTCAGACCTTACAAAGAAGCATAAATTAAATCATATTTAGTTTTACATTCTCTTTGAAATGACAAGAAAAATACAATCAAAATTACATCCAAAAATTCAGACGAGTCCTTCAAGTCATATCCAATATAATTTGTTAATTATAATGCTGTGGTAAGATGTTAAATCTGTTTTCTCATCATGTCACCCCTGCCAATTAAAAAGAATGTAAATAATTTCTTGGCAATGTTAAGAAGAGAAATAACAAGCACGTACTAGTAGACTGAGAAGCTAGAAGATGATTGCATTGAGAATTGCAATCAACTTGATGAGACCTGGAGAAACTCAGGTGTAAGGACCCAAAGCTAGTTCTAGGTTAAGGCGGCTGCTTATGATAGAGGTAGAGAGTGAACCTGGGCCAGTGCCAGAAGTTTCCCTGAATATGAACCAGAGCCTTCCCTTCTCTATTTCTGTCAGAAGGAGACCCAAGACTTACATACTTCCAGCTGTGCGGAATGATTTGACATCTGAAAACAGATGTTCAGCTTCATTTGGCACTACAGCATAGAAAGGTTTTGTGACCCGTTGTGTGTAATCATCATCCTCAGATTCGCATGTAGGTGTCAAACTAGCAGCAGTTGATTGAGTGTGAGTTTTGCTCCCCATGCTTTCCCAGCCCTTGCCTCACAATGCCTTAGCCCTCCTCCTCTTCGAGTCTGGAATTATCAGGGGTTGGGGAGATGGTTCAGTAAGGTGCTTGCTGCACAAGCATGAAGACCTGAGTTTGTATCTTCGGTACCTACATAAAAAGCTGTGGCGGGGGGCATGCACCTGTAATTTCAGTGCTGGGGTGACGGTGCAGAAACAGATGATTCCCTGGAGCTTACTGTCTAGCCTATCCAGCTGAATAGGTGAGCTCCAGGTTTATCTAGAGAGCCTAACCCCCTAAATAAGGCAGAGGATGATTGAGAAAGATACTTGATGCCAACCTCTGACTCAAATGCACACACATACCTACACATACATGAACATGGACACATACATAGCCCTAACATCAACAACACCAAAACCAGAAATTGTAATTATACAGAAAAGACACAAAGGGAATTGCTTTGGCTGAAATGGATGTCCTACAGAGTTTTACTAGATAGCCATGTATTTTCCCTTAAATTTAAGGGATCAGAAATACTCATTCAATGGGAATGGTGAATTCATGTGCTCAGATATGTATATCTATTTGCAGACACACACACACACACACACACACACACACACACATGCACGTGCACACACACATGCTTGCACCCACACACTTAGGTATGCATGGGGTTGCTTTCTGCTATGAGCAGGGTATTATTCAAGAAACTTGAGGAATGGTGAGGAAAAGCAGCTCATGTGCTGTGATTGAGCCTGAGAATTCACCTGGTTGGGTCTGTGAAACCTGAAAAAAGGTTCTGCAGGAAACACGGCTTGATGAATGCTTTGGGATAGCTAGGGTTAGGAAATATTAGGACAAAAATAACCAGGAACAAGGCCATGGGTTTTCAGACAGAAATGGATGCTATCTGTCAAATGACAACAGTCATTTAAAGTAGATGTTGAAAGTAAGAGCAAATTGGGATAAAATTTTGATTTGGAAAAGTATCCCCCATCCCATTGTCTTTTAACCAATGATGCACAACACTATGGAGAAACCCACAGCAGGCTTTGTGGTCTTCTAGCTTATCTAGAAGAATGGTTTGTTGATGTGTTTAGAATTGGAATTGTACATGAGGGTTTTTTTTAATAATAATTTATTAGTGGAAAACTTATTTGTTCATGTAATTAATCTTTGTGTGAATTCTTGGGAGTAATTTAATTAAAATATGTTAATACAAAGCCAAACATATTTCCAGGATAAGATGCATTAGAAATAAGATTTTTGAGTCTTCTATAATATTTATAGGTTTAGGTTAAAAGAAAAGGAAATTGTACCAAGTTTAAAAAGTGTGAGTTAATTAAAAAATGAAAGGTTGTGTTGTTGTTTGGGGGTTGGTTTTATACTGTCACTCTTAATGTTGACATTTGCATCAATGAGTTGAGCCAGTAGAGCAGACCTTGTGTTTTATGTGGGTGTGACCCAGATTTTACATCAGACAACAGAGATCAACACCGATGTGTCATCCCCTTTCCCATTCCCCTTGCCTGCATTTTCCTTTCTTCTGAAATCTTTTTTGCCGGTTCTGGGGCTATACTGTGTATTTCTGAATGACCAGGAGATGGCAGCACTTTAGAATGTTCCACAGCACTACAGTCTTAAATCAGAATCTGGCCATCAGCTATTCCCAAATCCAAGCCCTACAGCACATAAATTCCATTCGCAAAGGGTTATCCCCAAACATCGAGCTGAGGCTTGAAGCCCAATGTTAAGGAAATCAATCTGCTTGAGCACTGTGCTGCTGTGGTCTGGCCTTGCCCTCCCTTGCACCTGAATTGACTCAAAGCACTGAGCCGGCTCCCTCCTGAGGGAAATGTGCCTCCTCATACTGTCTCGTTACACTTCACTCCATGAAGTGAATTGGTTAGATACTGAGAAGGAAAAGATCCACCATGTGACTTAGATTTGAAATCTGAATAACATTTTTGACTACAGACACAGCTGTTAAAGGGTTTGTGTCTAAACACTTATCTGCAAAAGATGCTCACGTGGACTCCAAAATGGTTTCCATTTTTTATAAGCCATAATTTGGTAATGTTTTAAGCATTCTCGTCAACATCAATATGTGTCAAAGTCTTCCCTCAGCTGGTTTGAGTTCACTCATGCTAAAGCTAAATATATCAGTCAGGATAAAATAACTCAAAACAAGATAATGTGGCATTTTCTTAACAAAGTATCAGTCTTAGAATAATATTCCCATTATGAAGCTTCTAGGTGAAAAAAATAATCACCAAACTGCCGTGATCTATGTGATTTTGAGGATAAAGATAAAAACCAATCTTGGACTTTCTAGAAACTGAGGCAGAGGGTCCATGGCCCAGCAGTCAAATGATTCTCATTAAAATTGCTTCTCAAAAAGCCCACAACATCCTCTGTGATCCCATTCTTCGGATATCAGCATTGGAAGAGAAGATTAGGGAATACAGATTTTCAGTTAGACACATTGCTGCTTGTAAAGCATTAGACATGTATTAAGAGAAAAAGGGAGGAAGAAGGTAAGCCGCAGCCAGTAGCTTCTCTTACTGATCTGGAAGAGGGTCTGATAGAGACAGAATCCACCAGCATTAACAGCACTTGAAGTCGGATGGCAGCAGCCCTGGGGATCTGGGTCATAGGTGTACACAAAGAATCATGCAATACAGCCTGCAAAACAAGGGGGAGAGCTGACAGGAGATCAGCAAATCAGCATGGTGTCCCACAGACAGACTGGGCTCAGTGACTCCCAGATGCACAGAGGACATCAGTCAAAGTGGTGGAAACAGATTTATTTGATTCAGAAACTACTGACAGTAAGGGAAAGAGCCAGACTTCATTTTGACCTGTGCAGGAGTGATATGGGCACTTTAAAGAAAGAATAAGAGAGAGGGAGAGGAGGGAGAGGGGGGGAGAGAGAGTAGGGGCTCAGTGGATTTAGTGAAGTAGAAATCGGTGAAAGGGCAGGGGGCCAGGTGTGTTTGTGAGCTGACTGTATTTTAAACACATAGGTAAACCAATAACCACAGAGCTGCCATGATCTTAACCATGTGATTTTGAGGATAAAGATTTGAAAAAGTCCTGAACTTTCCAGAAACAGGCATAGGACGGTGGATTCCACAGCCTGTCAGTCAAATGAGTTTCATATCATTTACCTCTCCAAAGCCCACGTGAGTCCATCCTCCCACGAAAACTTCTAGTTGGGTTCACTTCAAAGGGATGGCTTAAGAAAGACACTTCTGGGTTGTGTAACACAGTCATTCAGAAATGTGAACCCTTTTAGTGACTGCTGCAAAGAAGAAAGGCTAGAGTCTGTGCTTCTGTGCCTCCCTTCCCAGCAGGGCTTACTCAACACAGCTCTCAGCACTCAGCAAGAAGCTTCTTTCTACAGTAGCTGGAGTCTGTTAGAGAGATCCACGGCTGTCAGAATGCGGAGAATATGTGAGCCTTGTGGTACCAAACAGGACATCCATAGCACAACCCCTGCATCCAAGGCTCAGGGAACATCCTGGAAGAGAGGGAGGAAAGACTGTAAGAACCAGAGACAGGAATGTCTGCTGTTATATCCTGTTGCATGATAAATGTGCATTATCTTGAGCCACCTATTTGGAGCTCAAGAAGGGAGAATATCTAATTCAGGTTAACCTTCCCCTTAGAAAATAAAACACAGATAAATAAAATCCTTTAATCCTAGGGCATCAGTAGACAGCAAGGACTTCAGGATACTCGGAAGACCTTTACACAGCTGGGTTGCTTGGACACTAACATGAATGGCAGTGTGGACATGACAGGGATGTTACACCCATGAATTCTCAACAACCTGGCTGTCTGCACAAGACCTACAAAGACCACACCATATATGAGAGCATATATGGAAGAAAATTAAACCAGTTTTTACCCCTAGATGAAAAGCTACAGGCAATCAGTGCTTGATGAGAGTGAGAACTAGTTTTTGTTTGTTTGTTTCCAAGTATTTGTGTGTGTGTGTGTGTGTGTGTGTGTGTGTGTGTGTGTGTGTGTGTGTGTGTGTGTTCTGGCAACCTTGAGCTTTCTTAGGTGTTGTTTTACTTCATCACTGTGACTGCACCTTAATCTACTGCTGTTCCAGCCAACAATTGCAACTCTGCAGCTACCGATCTGCTTCTGCCTCTCAAGCCACAGCCTGATGGGAATTCTGTTCCCACAGGCACTGGCTCTGTCACTGCTGTTAAAGGTAGCTTTGACTAAATCTCCATTGTTCTATTTATAAATAAGACTCAAGATTCAAAGGCTGGGGTGAAAACCTGCTAGCTCAGAGAGGCTGGGTTGAATTCTCAGCCAGGTTGTTGAGAATTCATGGGTGTGACATCCCTGTTGTGTCCACACTGCCATTCATGTTAGTGTCCCAAGACGCCCTTTTCACCTTACCTGCATCTCTGTCAAATCAAAAAAGCTGTGCCACTCAAAACCCCTCCCTACTACTTCCAGTGTCTCTCTATCTGTTCCAGATGCCTTCTGATGCTCTATGATTACTTTCTGTCAGCCTCCTAAGCCAAGGTTAATTTATTTAATTAAAGCAAATGTAAACTCAGGGTTCACAGTGTGATCAGTATCCCACAACACTTAGGTAAGCAATTTAATTGAATGATAGCGGGTGGTCAACATAAGGGCATGGTCAAGTGGTATGCCAGATTCTTGTCAACTCACTACAAGTCAGACTTATTAGCTGTAAAAAATTTCATAACTCTTGGAGGTTGCAAGAAGATATTAAATTAAAACTCCAAAGACAGCAAGGGTTGACGGCTGAGGGAACCTGGGAACAAGAAGAGCTCAAGTCTTGATTCTAGCTTGTAGAGAGCATGGATGCCTAGCATTTCTCTCAGTTGGGATTGTTAGATGGGTAGAGTGGATCCTGCAGATTTCCCTCTTCGAGGATTATGGCGAAGCAAGGGTAAAACTAGTAAAAAGCATTCTAAGCAGATTTTCCTGAACAACTACACATGAGTAGATATGTTCAGTGTTCTCAATGCTAAGAGTGATGGGGTTCTGGGTACCAATACTGAGAAAGATTAAAGGAAGCTCCATTTTTCTAAGTGTAAGTCTGCTTTCTGATGGTTCTTCCTCTTCTCCTCTGTCCACCTTCTTGCACCTGCCTATTGTGTAGGACTGGCTTGCACTCCCCAGTACATAATTAATTCCCACCCAAGTACCACTCAGCAACTGCTCCCCTTTGTCTTAGTCAAATGCCACCTCTAATTTCATCCAAAGCTGCGGGCTAGGTCTCCCTGGTCTCTTCTAAAAATGTTAGCAGTTGGGCTTCTTTGCAAACAGTGAATTCCAAATGGGAAGGAAGGCAGAGCCCAGCCCTCCAGCCATGTTAGCAGACAGGTCACCAGCTTTGGGTTTTCTGTCTGTTGTCAGTGCACAGTCTATGAGATGGAAACCATGAAGATGGTGTGCCAGAGTTTCCAGGAGCACTTAGAGGAAATTGAACAGCACTTCATGGGACAGCAGGCACTCTTTCCCAGGGACATGTCAGAAGAGGAAAGGTAATTATCTAAGGCAAGCATGAAAGTAAGTCCCAGACCACACACCTGGAGCAAGGGGAGGTAATCAGAGCAGGCAAGGCAGACGAGCATGATGGAGCAGGGCTAATGAGAAATCGGCCAGCTTTTCCTCTGCTTTCATGGTCTTCGTTTTGCTTTCTCAGTGTGAAACTGAGAGAGCCATCACTGGATGGGCACACTCTTATTGAAGATTGGGGCTATTTGGGGAGGTTAGAAGAGGGGCAATTAGCTGGGAGGATGCGGAAGGCCAGCAGGATTTCTTTAATTGATAGGAATGAGGCTTGCACAAAAGCAAATGTTGGGGGAGTTGTTATTAGAGTTTTGAAATGTACATTATTGTCACAGGAGTTAAAAATATTACCCAAATGGATGTATCATTGATTGCCTGTGACTGTGGGGATAGGTTTTAATAGTAAAGGGCATGGGTGTTGTGTGTTCTTATTGGGAGATGGCATGTTCTAGAGCTGCATGCTCGTCATCCTTATCCAATTTGGTAACTTCCTTACAAATAATGTATGCTGAAATAGATAAACATGATACATGAATTATACCACAATAGGATTTCTTTTTTATAAGGGTGTGTTAGGGATGCGGCTCAATGTTAGTGTACTTAAAGTGCAAATCCATAGCTTCCATCGCAAAAGAGTGCAGAGTGGGGTTGGGGGGGTACCTGCCCTAGTAGCAGACTTACCTCTATAGCTGCATCAAATGTTGAAGGCCAATGTCTCTTTTAAACAATCTCAGAGGCCAGAGAGATGGCTCAGTGGGTAAGGTACTCACTCTGCCCAGCCTGACTACCTGAGTTCCATCGGGAGAACGGCTTGCAAGGTGCTCTCTGCTCGCCACTGTGTCAGGCATATGCGCACGGACACACACACACACACAGAGAGAGAGAGAGAGAGAGAGAGAGAGAGAGAGAGAGAGAGAGAGAGAGAGAGAGAGACATAAAATTCAGAAGAGATATCAAAGGCAGGACCCACTCGGTGAGAGGGGCATAGAAGACTGCATCTGGTGATGATTTTGAAGTCTCCTTTTCTATTATCTTCATGCAGGGAAGAGGCTGAGGACCTGAGGACTTTGCGAGCGGCCCTGAGGCAGCAGGTGGCAGAGCTGGCGTTTCAGTTAGGAGACCGGGCCAGGCAGATCAAAGAGGGTGTCCTACTGGTAAGCGGTGTGGTGGAGAACGGATGCAGAGTGGATGCAGAGTCTAAGTGTCTCCAGCCTACTACTCACGGGAGAGCTGCTTTCAATAAGAAGCCAGTGGTGTGACAATTCCAGACGGAAGCATGACATGTTACATGGCCACACCTGCATTTTACACATAAAGAGATTGACCTTGCTTTGCTCCTGCCCACACAGCTGTCAGGCGGTGGTTGACTCGGGTTTATAGCTACTCCAAGCTTTCTCCTGCCATCTAAAGGAAAGCAAAGTACTACTACCTATTTTCCATGTAAGAACAAGAATCCCAGATCCCAGACTAGCAAAGCTAGCCTTTTGATCCATGAGCTAGGTCACTACTATACCCTGCTATTGGCTCAAAGTGCCCATTACAGAACCTTGGCACCTCATAAACACATTTCTTTCAAGTCTGAGGTAACTGTTCGGTGTAAGTGTGACATGTCTCTGTCACCACCAGGGACAGAGGAACAGTTCCATTCTATGTCTCCCACATGCCTGCAGTGGCCTGGAGAACCCCTCTTTCTTACTGGGGTCTCCATTCAAGTATAAGCAGAATTCATGACCTTATCAAAGAAAATAATTCCAAGATAAGGCAACATGAATCAGAATTGAAGTTTATTAAAGAGATTTTGTTTGGTTGGTTGTTTTTGGGGGGTGGTTTTTTTTTTGAGACAGGGTTTCTCTGTGTAGTTTTGGTGCCTGTTCTGGATCTCGTTCTGTAGCCCAGGCTGGCCTTGAACTCACAGAGATCTGCCTGGCTCTGCCTCCCGAGTGTTGGGATTAAAGGCGTGCACCACCACCACCACCACCACCACCACCACCACCACCACCACCGCCTGGCTTTAGCATGGATTGTTAATAGAGGGAAATGTGCAGGAAGAGTAGAGCGTGCTCACAGGCGGAGGGTCACATTCGGGTTTCTTTTTAGTGGGTACCTTAGTTCTCCAGTTACATTTCTGTACGTTGTGAAGAACCCCCTCTCCTTTTTAACACTGCTCAAAGACAGCAACTCACAACAAAGATACAGGTTACAGACAGAGCAGGGAGATGGCTCAGGAGTTAGGAGCACTTCCAGAAGCTTGGTGCACAGCATCCATGACCGGTAGTTCACAACTACCTGTGACTCTAGCTGTAGGGGACCCAACACCCTTTACTGGACTCCTTAGGCAACTACAAAGAGATATGTACGTAATTATCAATTAAAAAAAATTTTTTTTAAATCTTAAGGATTTCCTTCTGTGAACAAAAACTTGTAAGTTTCATGGGGGATATTGTTTAGGGTTAAGAGTGAGAGGTGAGTAGAAAGTCATGGTCTTTAAGTAAATGTAGCTTATTTATTGTCTTTTGTAAAATGTCTTTGGAAACAGACATTGTTTTGGTGAGCAGTTTTGGCTTTCTTAGTAGTATCTGGTTTCTTGCCTCTCTCTGCAGCTCAGATCTCTGGACCCACACATTCCTCCCCATGTGCCCTAGTTACTTTCTGTTGCTATGATAAAACACCATAGCTGAAAGCAACTTGGAGACCAAAGGGTTTATTTGGCTTATAAATTATAGTTGATCATCAGGGGAAGCCAAAGCAGTCACTCAAGTTAGGAACCTGGAAGCAGGAACTGAAGTGGAGACAATGGGGGATTTCTGCTTACTGCCTGCCTCTCCAAGACTTGCCCAACTTGATTTCTTATACAACCCATCACTACCTACCCAAGGTCAGCACTGCCCACAGTGGGCTGGGCCCTGCCACATTTCAATATTAAGCAAGATATACAGGCAATCTGATGGAGGCATTTTATCAGTTGTGGATCCTCTTCCCAAATGACTGTAGCTTGGGTTGAGCTGACAAGGAACTAACCAGTACAGCATGTATATCACCATGGCTCTGTCTTCCTAGCCTGCTCCTTACACACTCCCTTTTGTCTTTTCTTTCAGCAGCTAGACCTTCTCTCAGAGGAGCTGCCTGAACACTGTGCAAATCTGCAGCAATGCAACTGGACAGAGGGAGAGCACGGCCAGAGTTCATGTGTTCAAACCCACACTGTGGCCCCTGAGCCTGCCCTGCCTGCCAGCAATGGGCAGCAGATTCCCTGCTCGGGGGTGACTCAGCTGGTTGCTCTTTGTCCCTCTGACCGTGAGACCAGACGAAGGATGTCTCTACAGTCACCAGCTATGACAGAGTCAGGTCCGGGTCCTTCATCAAGTAGTACTGTAGAGTAATCTCTGCTAGACCAGAGAGTTTGATGACCTTTGTACAAAATGGAAGATCCCAGAACAGCTGTAACAAAGGAATCTGATTCCTATGTACCCTTCTATTCTATGATTAAACTCAGAATATTTTAATATTCATTGATTACATAATAAGGAGTCACCCGGTATGTGCCTGACTGGGGTATATTATAGTCATTGAGTAGCATATGGCCTTTACCCTGAGAAAGCATGTGTCCTAGTGGAAGAGACTGAATATAAACACACATATGTATCTATAATTAAAGTCAAGAAGAACGGCCTCTACCCTGAGAGAGCATGTGTCCTAGTGGAGGCGGCCGAATATAAACACACATATGTGTATAATTAAAAAGCAAGAAAAAGACAATGTGACCTTATTTTATGACAGATAAGTATCTGAGTCTGCTCAGGCACCCGGAAGGCATGTTCAGAGATGTGATACTGCTGATGCTGGAGGCAGCTGTGAGCAAGACAGAATGTCTGTGCATCAAGAGTTGGATAAAGTGAGAGAAACAACAAATAAATACCATTTCCATATAGTTTGTGGAGGAGTCACCATGCGACATGGGAGGGAAGTGCCCTGGGGACCTCATCAAAGGGAGCTATTAGGAAAGACTTGAAGGTAAGAAGATAGAAGCCCTAGAGAATTCATGTTCAAAAGACTGGAAAGCAGAAGAGAGGAAGGTTCACAGGCTGGTATGTAGAAACACTATTTTGCCAACTGTGGTAGGTGATAGTGAGGACCTAAGTGAGGACCCTGACTCCCTCCAGGCCGTGGTCAGGAGTCTAAGGGCATGTATTCTTGCAAGTGCAACAGAAAGCCTCCATAAGTGTTAAACATGGATTTCATAGGGTCTTAGCTACCTTTTATAATCACAAAAAGATACCACCATGGAACCTATGGAGAGGTGAGGCTGCTGGCTATAAACCTATGGAGAGGTGAGGCTGCTGGCTATAAACCTATGGCTTACAGTTGTCCCTCAAGTCAAAAGTTGTCCAGCTGTTTCCATCCAGCTGTGGGAACAGCATGGCTCCTACTACAGGGAAAACGCATGGAGGTAGATATGAAAGCCAAGGGATGACTAGAATCAAGAATAGATGAAAAATGAAATAGTGAGAAATAGCATCATAAGAACTCCTGAGGGAAGCTTCTTGTTTGTATGAGAGGATGAGTAAGCAGAGGGCACTTCCTAGCTAGGAACCCAAGACAATATTCCTTTGGAAACTGTCTACTAGCCTGTTTCATTCCTTATCTTCCTGCTTTGGTTGCTATGACTCCAGTGAGGCTCTGATTTCCAGGGACCATGCACTGTCTCTCCTGCTGTACCTCCCTAGAATGTGGACATCTCCATTCACACATCTTCTTCAGCATCCATATGCACCATATGTATGACCCCAGCGCCAACCCCTTCTAAACCCCAGTCTTCCATCCTCCTACCACACACACTCAGATGAACCCATCTGCCTTGTCCCCGTGTGGCCTTTACTGGCACCTCGGTATCAGTCACTGCATCACTGCTGTTTCCTCATAGCCTGGTGACAGCACAAGGCATGAGCCTTTGACATGCCTTGAGCTTCCCTCTCTCTGAGATGCCTCGGCAACTGACAAACTGTCTCCGCCGGCACCAATAGGGTCATGGTTCCTAGACTCAGGGAGAGAACCTAAGAAGTAATATGTCAGATAACTAAGAGAGTCATCTCAAGACTATGATCCCAGAGCAGTCTGCTGCCAAAATGTTGCTCCAGCCAGGAATCACTATGCCCTTTCCTTTCTGCTGCTGCCTTGCTTTCCTGGACCACACCCCTACTCTGGTTCCCACGGTATGATGCAACTTCCAGCTGCAAACTGGCTCCTAATTGCTTTTGTACATCCTAAGTTTCTTCCTTTTCTAGACTGTCAACATTTGTCTTGGTTCAGACTTGAGCTGCCTTTGCCTGCAGCCTTTGAGCCTGTGGTTCCTGCCTGTTCTTCACTGGACTGCCTACTACCTGCTTGATGGCCTCATGCCCTACTTTGTTCTCATGTCAATCTGAAATGCTTGTCCTTTGGACTACTTTGTATATCCCTACATTCCTTCACATCACAGACTCTGAATGTACAGATTCAACTAACAGCTCTGCGATATTCAGAAAACAATCGCATATGCATTATAGACATTGCTCTTGCCATCCTTCAACTATTTTGTAACATATTTTATTAGGCACTACAAATAATCTAGGGATGATTTAAAGTGTTCAAAGTATGCAGATGTGTATGTTTTCTGCAAACACTCTATTGTGTAACATAAGGCTTGTTGGACAGAATAAATGCAGTAAATTGGTTGCAGTAATTAACACAATATCCCTCAGAGACTAAATGCTCAATATATGTTGGCTATTGTTGATGCAAAGACGAACACATCAGTAAGTCCAATGTGATCATTACCTTCTTTCTGTTGAGAAGGATTCTGTGAGCAAAGCAGCTTACCCTGGAAGAATATTAACAAATGCCTGAGGAATAGATGAGCAGAATAAAGTAGCACTCTCAAGAGACAGAGAAGCGGATGATCTCACCACAGAAGCAACACCATTTCAAGCTGTAGGAGGAGCTAAGCTTGCACTTAAAAGGGATTTGTGTGTGGATCATTTTAACCTCCAGGAAAGATGACTTCAGATGTGAAGGAGGAGACAGAGACCCACTGCTTGAATGAAGAATGGCAAATGAAATCCCCAAAGAGCTCTACATAGTAAATGGCAGACCCCAGCTCTCCAACAAGGAAGATAAAAGTGAACAAAAAAATGTAGAAACACTTCTATGTCCCACCCAGAACTTTTACTGTCTTTAATGACTGATGGGCTGATTGCGAAATGTCACCTGGAATTCCAGTTCTCAGACTCAGACTGATTGTAATCACTGACTTTCCTGGTTCATGTGATAAACATCTTATCTCCAGTTGGTTCTGTTTTTCTGGATGACTCTGGTAGTGAGGAAGAAGAGCTCAAAGACCAAAAGCTTGACTTATAAAAAGGTATGCTGAGTGCTGGGTTTGTTAATAAGAAGCAACTGAACTCTGGCAATAAACCCGAGGTTTGATCCAATTTCACAACTAATTATTTGTATTTAATAAACTGAGCTCTGTAGATCTCAAGGTCATCATCTACAATTAACACAGAGAATGCTTATTCAGCCCTTTAGCTGGAGCCTGGAATGATGCCAAGGCTCAGTAAGTAAATACAGTGTTTGTCATTAGCAGGAGTAGATGCCAATGCTTGGCCATCTTACCCTTAGCTAAGTGCTGCACCAAGTACTCTATGTGTCTTGTCACATATCTCCACAACAAAACTCCAGAGCAGAAACTCACCTATGCATAACACACACACACACACACACACACACACACACACACGCACGCATGCACGCACGCACGCACGCACGCACGCACGCGTACACACATACACACACCAAAACTAAACTATCTGAGGTTTGGGGTCTAGTAGGGTGTAGTTTGAAGTTTTCATCCCACAGCAGTAGGGGATTAAATTGACACTGGTCCACTGATTTTTCTAAAACGAAATATATTAAAACTGTCAAGCCTTGGGGCTTATGTGGAGCTTACTAATAGGCCCAACTCAACCAGAGTAACTCTTTTTCTGTCTGTATTCTGCATTGAGTTTGGCAAAAATCTTACTTCAGGCAAATACTCACTGCTTAGAAGAGCTTGAAAAACTTAACATACTGACCACATTTGACTTTTGTAAACAGATAGTGTCTGTTGCTTTTGTATAAAATGTTTTCTACTACACAGAAATCCTTTTGTACCTACCACTTTAGCAACTTTTAGCTCTTAACTGCTGTCATACCATCAAGATAAACAAGAATTCCTTTGCATTTCCTGAATGATGCCAAGCTCTGTTTCCTTTTTTTTTTTTAATGTATGTTGATATTGTCCAAGTTAATTCTTGAGGAGATCTTAGATCGTGTGTTTATAAATAGAAATAAAAATAGAGAAATTACCTTCAGGAAGTGGGTAAACACACACACACACACACACACACAACACACAACACACACACACACACACACACACAGACATCTTTTACATGAAGCTGAAGCTACTTGTTTAACTAAAAAAGAAGGAAAGAGTAAACAGACTTCAAGTTTAGAAATTTGCCAGGGAACAACTTGGCCTTTTCTGTGGCATATTCCAGGGATCTTCCTCCTGTGGATTTTACCCCCTCCAGATTTCAGGAGTCAAAGCCAAAAGCCTTGATTAGAGGGGCTCATTTCAGAAATAACACTTGGAATTCAAGTCACATATTTTCTTTGGTTTTTGTTCTGCATGAGTGAAGACCTAAGTTGCATGATGGAGACAAAGAAAACAACCTTGAAGGTTGTTCTGATCTATAGCTTATGCCAAGACCACAAAGATTCGCGTAAAGAAATTCACGTTTGGTGCACAGAAAAATATTCTCCAGAAGCATGTTCCACAAGACTTTGTGTATTGAACAGATCTTTCTTAGTTCTGTTTTCTTTCTTTCTGTAGAGCTAAACCTTAGATTTCCTCAAAAGAAAATAATTTTGCTAACATTGAAAAATGAAGCTGAAAGATTCTAGTGATAAGAGAATTTACTCTTGAATGACTCATTCTTTGTTGAGGTAGTAATTGGTTCCTGTGAGATGAAATGGAATAAAATAGGACATTTATAAAGAGGTCAAAGAATCAGTTATTTCTTCATGGGAGGAGGTATTTCCAGGGTAGTTTCCTATGGGATAGTGGGTTGCATATTTAATTTCAAATTGGAATTTGAGCAACATGTAACAGCTATAATTAAACGGACCACAGATTATTCAAACTGATGTCAAATCTCCTTTCTTGAAAATTGGAGAATGTAAACGGAATCTAAAACATGGAAGCCATCTTTCCTGAACTTGAGCTCAGCCTCTCTAATGTTTTACCTTTTTTTTAAAAAATAAAGATCTCTACTAATTCTTTGAAAAGTTCACACAATGCATTTTCATCACACTCATTCTTATTCCCCCATCTCCTTTAAGATCCACTACCACTTTTAGCCCTGCCCCCAACTTTATGTCCTCACTTTGTTTTGCTTTCAAATAACCTATCATGTTCGATTTGTGCTATCGTGTATTCCTGAATATGGGTCCATCCACAAAAATGTAGTTGCTGTGCTAGAGGCCACACCCTTAGAGACAACTGACTCTTCCTCTCCAAGAAGCCATCAGCTGTCCATAGCTCCTCAATTAAGAGTAGGAGCTTGTGATTCCTTACCCACTATGTTATAATGTTGACTGACTTTACCTTGCAAAAATCTTCTGTAGCCAACATTGAGTGCCATTGTTCTGTCATGACCAGAAGATACTGTTTCACTCCAGTCCTTCCTGGCATCTGGCTCTTATAGCTTTCCATCCGATCTTCTATGAGGGTCCCTGAGTCTTGAGTGGGGTATGATAAGGATGTGCCATTTGTGGCTGAGCAATCCACTGACAACGTTCTCTGCACTTTGGCTGCTTATGAGTTCTTGTATTAACCGCCACCCACTGCACAAAGAAACTTCTCTGAGGAGGTGTGAAAACTGAAGTCATCTGTGTTTAGAGAGATTCAAATTTAGAGATCAGTTTGATACTTTGTCTATTTAGCAGAATGGTAGTAGTATATTCAACCCTAGGGCCCGTGAACAACCAACCATGAGTTCTTGGTTGTACCAGATATATGTTATCTCTTGTGCTGTGGCCCTTAAATCTAATCAGTAAGCACTTGGTTACTCCCATTAACTATGGGCGTATTTCACCATACTGGTCATTATTGCAGGACAGAATTCACATCTGGCTAAGACTTTTGATGGCTTCTTCCTTTAGCAGCCTGCACAACATCGTCCAAAACTATGAAAGCTAGCCATCAAGGAGAAAACTTCTTGTCAGCACCACTTTGATTTCTGTATGTCCCATGACAAGAGTATATGGTATCTTCAGCAATAGGGTCTTACCATCAAATTCTGGTGGGCAATCAAAAGCATTGTAAGTAACATACATCATTTGTAGGGGGTCTGGAAAAGAAATAAGGGAAACAATTCCACTCACACTAGCCACACACAAAAGTAAGTACTAAAATAAACCTAGCCAAAGAAGTGAAAGACCTACAGAATGAAACTTCAAAATACTGAAGAAAGAAATCAAGAAGCCATCAGAAGATGGAGAGACCTCCCGTGCTCATGGATTGGTAAGATTAATATTGTGAAAGTAGCCCTCATATTAAAAGCAATCTATAGATCCAGTGTAACCCTGTTGTGGAATATTATTTTAAGGTGTGTTACATTTGTTTATGCTGTGGAACATTTGTTTAGTGATGCAAATATGTGTTGCATTCTTTCATGTTGCATTTGTTTAACTCTGTGAAGCTGTGTTACTTTGCCTGTCTAAAATACCTGATTGGTCTAATAAAGAGATGAACGGCCAATATCCAGGCAGGAGAAAGGATAAGAGTGGCCAGCAGGCAGAGAGAATTAATAGAAGGAGAAAAAAAAGTCAAGAGAAAAAGAGTAAAAACAACAACATAGGCCCAATCAAAATTCCAATATAATTCTTCATAAAAATTAAAAAAAAAAAAAGAAACTCAAAAAACTTAAAATTCATATGGCAGCACAAAATGCCCTGGATAGCTAAAACAGTCCTGATTAAAAAAAAATGTGCCATGGTTTCTGCTTTCAATGTTTAACACAGAGCCATGGTAATAAACGCAGCAAGCTACTGCCACAAAAACAGACATACAGACCTACTGATCAACAAAATAGAATCAGGGTCTCAAATATAAGTCCATATTCCCATGGACACCTTAATTTGAACAAAAATACCAAAAACATATATCGAAGAAAAAAAAAAAACACAGAATCTTTAGCAGATGGTGTTGGTAAACCTGGATATATAAGAATGAAAATTAGTCCTTGTCTCTCACCCTGAACACAAACAATTCCAAGTGGAGCTAAGCTCTCAGTGTTAGACCTGAAACTCCAAAGCTTCTGGAAGAAAGAGTGGGAGGTATACTTACGGATGTAAGTTCTGGTAAGGACTTTCTGGATAACAATCTGGTCACCCAGGAAGCTGCAGCAACAATAAGTGGAACTTCATAAAATGAAAAGGCTTCTTATTGCAAAGAAAACTGTTAATCACCTGAAGAGGCAGCCTAAAAAAAGGAAACATTTGTACCAGCTCTACAACTGGTGGCAGCTTGGTGTCTAGAATATGCATAGAACTCAAAACCAGCACCAAGAAAATTAACAACCCAATTAAAAAGTGAGCTCTGAACCTGCACAGAGAGTTCTCAGAAGACACGCAAATGGCTCAGTGATATTTAAAAGGTGTTCACCATTCTTAGCCATCAGGGAAATGCAAATTAAAACCGCTTTGTGATTTTGTCTCTCCCTGTCAAAAGGGTCTACTTTTAAAAGATTGGCAGAACACAGGTTTTGTATGGGATGTTCCCTATTTGAATCTGTGACAAGTTAGTAAAGAAAGGTCCACATCAAAAATTATTCAAATTATGAACTTGAAGACCTTTCTTTTCTTGGTTCTTTGAGGATGTAAGTTCGTCCAGTACTGCTGACACCTGCTAACTCAGAGCCAGCCCTTGCCCTCTCACTCACCAGGAAAATGCAACAGCCCCACTGGAGGTCTTGTTCACTCTGCCACTCATTTCTGGATCCTCAGTATGTCTAATAACTGCTGAATGGCTAATAACAGTGTGCCAGAACCACAGGGTAGCTACATACATTTCTTCTCTAAAATCTAAAATACTGGACTGGGGTAGGTGGCAGATAACCGGCATTCAGGCTATGCTAGAATCTCCAAGGAATGAACCAGAGAAAGTCGTCTAAGAACTATGGAAGAAGGAAAGCAAACATTGCACACAGCAGCAGCTGAAGGGGAACGGCACCAGGAAGCCCTCTCTGCTCAGCTCTCCCCTGGAACAGCAGCAAGACACATTTGAAGCAGAAACCTGCTGCGTGCTGGGCCTGGACCCTGGCAGCTCCAGATCCCTCATGACCACACTCCCAGGGATGGAGAGTAAGTGTGATGGGACTGTACACCTAGGTCCAGCCAGCACAGTGCCTTTTTATTTATTTATATTTTTCTTACTAAACAGAGGGCTTTAAAAACAATCTTATTAGCTACTTGAGAATAGCATGCAATGTATTTTGATTATATTCACTCCCTCAGTTCCTTTTTATATCCAGTTCCCTTCCCTACCCACCTGACCTTTTGTCCTTTTCTTTCCTCTCTTTTCTTAAACCCATTGAGTACAAAATGTACTGCCCATATGATCCTGGATGTGTGAACACCCAGCGGCTGACCTATAAGGAGGGGACATTGACTTAAAAAAAAATCAACTCACCTTCTCCCAGCAGTTATTAATTTCCAATAGCTCCTCACTGTAGTGGGTAGCCATTCCAACCTTGATCTGGAAGTTCCAATTCCCATTGAGGCTTCTGTAACTGTCACACCTACAAGGCGGGGCCAAGAGAGGACATTGAAGACCTGAGATCCGGATGTGCCATCTCTCTTGTTTCCTGGACTCTGGACGCTGGAGGTAGACTGAGCAGAGTTCTCCAGAGAACACCACTGGACTGCACTACCTCTTCCCCAGACCCTGCAACCTACCTATCCCTTCATTTGTAAGTTAGGCCACTAAATAAATCTCCCTTTTAACTACGTGGAATGGCCTGAATAATTTCACCAATACCTCACCTAGGGGTGAGACTTTGTGTCCACCTCCCCTATCCTTTCATGGATTTTGTCTGGGTTGAGCTGTCACAACCGCTTTGAGTTCATATGTGTGAGTGTCCTGTTCTGTCTGAAAGCCATTGTTTTCTTGTAGCCATCCCCCACCTCTGCATCTCTTTCCACAATTATCTCTGAGCTTTGTGAGGAAGAGTAAGATGCAGATGTCCCATTTAGAGCTGAGCATCCCATAGGTTCAACATTCTTACACATCAGGGAAATGTGAGTTGAAACTAATTTGATATTTCATCTTACCTCAGTCAGAATGGCTAGGATTAAAACAAAGTGATGACAAATGCTGATGTGGATATGGAGAAAGAGGAACACTAATTCACTGTTGGTGGGACTGCAAAATGGTAAGCCATTATGGAAATCAGTGTGGAGGTTCCTCAAAAAGCTAGAAATAGACTTACTACAGGACCCAACTATATCACTCATGGACAAAATAACCCATGGACTCTTTTTTCATCCATGCTCATTATTGCTCTATCTACAATAGCCAGGAAACAGAAGCAGCATAGATGCCTATCAACTGATTTATAGTGAAACCCTGGCACATTTACACAATGGAATATTTTTTACCTGTTAAGAAAAATGAAGTTATGTAACTCATAGATAATTGAGTAGAGCTAGAAACAATCATTTTATTCAAGATAACCAAGATCCAGAAAGACAAACAATGTTTGTTTTATCTTATAGGCATGGGGTAACTTTAAATCTTTAGATATGTATGTTTCATTTGGAATACCAATAGAGAGCAGGAAATTAGGAAAGGGCCATGGTAGGGGGTAGGGTGATGGCTTTCAAGGGAGGGGAATAGTACACAGTGGTATAAAGGAGTAAATGGGAATTATGGAATAAGAGGTGGTCAATGGGGTGGGGAATGGGAGGGCAGAGTAAAGGAGGAAATTCAGTAAGGA